TTCCTTCTTTCCTTCTTCCCTCCCTCCATTCTTCCTTCTCTCTTTTCCCTTCCACCCTTCTTTCCTTCCTTCCCTCATCCCTTTTACCTTCCTCTCTTTCTCCTCTCATCATTTTTCCTTCTTTCCTTCTTCCCTCCCTCCATTCTTCCTTCTCTCTTTTCCCTTCCACCCTTCTTTCCTTCCTTCCCTCATCCCTTTTCCCTTCCTCTCTTCCTCTCATCATTTTTCCTCCTTCCTTCCTTCCATCCATCCATCCCACCCATTCCTCCTTACCCTCAGCAGCAACTAAACAGCAACTTAAGCGTTGGCTTTATCTGACTTTTTGCTCAACAGCGTGTGACATGAATCTCCTCCCAACGTTTCTTTAAATTATATATAAATTATATTGACTTCAAACCATCTCCCACTCTACAGCAGAGCAGGCCAAAGGCCTGGCTAAGTGTTCACTTTAAGAGCAGGCAACTAAATTTCATTGTTGGTGTGGGCCGTTGTGCCCACAGTAAAAAAAAAATGACAATAAAGGTTCTCTACCCCTCCATATTACAAGGATGGTTCGTAATTTGGATCGCTTATGGCTGGCGGATGCCCAGATGCGCACGGCATCCTGTGCCCGGGTTCATCCCGGGGTGTGGGGTGTCTTTTGTCGAAGGGTGCCAGGGGGCACATGAGCTCCTTGGCGCAGTGTCACACTTCCCCACCAATATGGGGAAGTGGACCTCGCCCCTGGCTTTGTGGCTATGGGATCCTAGGCTGAAAGGGGAGACACGGGGGGGGGGGCACAAGGCCTGCTGGGATCTTGGGAGGAGACCCTGGTGATTTTTGGGCATGTCATTGCAGGTTGGCACCGGGGCCACGGTGGCCACCTTGGCAGACGCCTCCGAATTGCCCACCACTGTCACAGTCGCCCAGGTCAACTACTCTGCGGTCACCGATGGAGAGGTAAGGGGGTTCCCCCAGAAGCACCCCTAATTTCTGCTCTCTGGCCCTTAAAAAGGGGTGGAAACAGACACACACACACACACACAAACACACACACACCCTGACTTTATTTGGCAATTTTCCATTCTTTCCAACGAGGCTCTTAAAATGAGGTTCGGTTGAAGAGCTGGCAGGTTTTTGCCCCAATTTCTCTTTAGACGTGCCAACAATAAAGTTGGAAGGGACCTTGGAGGTCATCTAGTCCAACCCCCTGCTCAGGCAGGCAACCCTATCCCATTTCAGACAAGTGGCTGTCCAGTCTCTTCTTTAAAACTTCCGGTGTTGGAGCATTGACCGCTTCTGGAGGCGGGTTGTTCCACTGGTTAATTGTTCTCACTGTCAGGAAGTTTCTCCTTAGTTCCAGGTTGCTTCTCTCCTTGGTTAGTTTCCACCCGTTGCTTCTTGTCCTGCCTTCAGGGGCTTTGGAGAACAGCTTGACTCCCTCTTCTTTGGGGCAGCCCCTGAGATATTGGAACACTGCTATCATGTCCCCCCTCGTCCTTCTCTTCGTTAAACTGGACAGACCCAATTCCAGCAGCCGTTCCTTATATGTTTTAGCCTCCAGTCCCCTGATCATCTTTGTTGCTCTTCTTGTACTCTGTCTAGAGTCTCAACGTCTTTTTTACATCGTGGTGACCAAAACTGGATGCCGTATTCCAAGTGTGACCTTACTAAGGCCTTGTAAAGTGGTATTAATACTTCACGTGATCTTGATTCTATCCCTCTGTTAATGCAGCCTAGAATTGTGTTGGCCTTTTTGGCAGCTGCAGCACACAGCTGGCTCACATTTAAGTGATGGTCCACTACGACTCTGAGATCCCTCTCACCGTTGCTGCCATTGAGCAAGGCACCACCTATCCCATACCTTTGCATTTGGTTTTTCTTGCCTAAATGTAGAACCTGACTTTTTCCACCGTTGAATTTCATTTCCTTAGATCAGTCTGTAAACTGGGGAAGGGGAGAGACTTCAACCCCCCTTACTCCCCCTTTCGACGGAGCTAATTGGACTCCAGGCCTTTGTATCAAACTCAACTTTCCCCCCCCCCTCCACAACGGTGTAGGATTCTCAGAGCAATAGAACCAGCTTTGTTTCTCCAAGAAACCGAATTTCCATCTGAAAAAAACAGCTAAAAATGGAGGGTATTTTTGTGTAAATTCACTCTGGAAGACAAGCCTCCATTGTCTGAGCAAAGCTGGGCATTTTCCATCTTGATTAGGGTTTTTTTTGCGGGTGCTTTAGCCCCCTTCTTGGCCAGCTAATACAGGTAGTCCTCGGCTTTACGACCATCAAGGAGCCTGCCTATTGTGGTCACCCACGTGACCATCCGCTTTCAGGAGTTTTTAGGCAGCGGTCATTAAGTGAACGCAGCGATAGTAAAGTAGCTGTCTTGGTCGTTAAATGAACACGGTCGTTGAACAGATCGGTCGTTTGCTGTGGGCTGCCTTTGTCAAACACGAGAAGTATGGGTAGTCCTCCACTTACAACCGCAACAGAGCCCAAAATTTCCACTGCTAAGCGAGGCAGTTGTTAAGAGAGCTTTGCCCCATTTTACGACTTTCCCTGCCGTGGTTGTTAAACGAGTTGCTGCATCTGTTAAGTTAGTCGCCTGGTCGTTAAGCGAATCGGGCTTCCCCAATTGACTTCGCTTGTCAGAAGGTCGCCAAAGGGGATCACGTGATCCCGGGACATTGCGACCGTCGTAAATGCGAGTCAGTTGCCAAGATGCTGAATTTTGATCCCGTGAGCACGGGGATGCTGCCAACGGTCATAAGTGCGAAAATCGGTCCTAGGTTACTCTCTCCCGTGCCGTTATGACTTTGAACGGGCACTAAACAAACTGTCGTAAGTCCGAGGACGGTACCTTTGGGGGATCCGTCGTCCCTTTGGGTGTTTGCTAAGCGGCCGGAGGTACGTGTGAGGCCGCCGGTCCTGCAACGGGTCTCTCTGGCCTTCTCCCTCCCGCCAGGTGGAGCAGAACTGGGCCACGCTGCAGGGGGGCGAGATGACCATCCAGACCACCCAGGCCTCCGAAGCCACGCAGGCAGTGGCCTCCCTGGCCGAAGCCGCCGTCGCCGCGTCGCAGGAGATGCAGCAAGGCGCGACGGTCACGATGGCGCTCAACAGGTAGGGAGGGGAGGGGGGCAAGGGGAGCGAGGGGGCCGGACTAAGGGGTCCTGGGTACCAATTTGAACCCTTTACCAGATCTCATAAAGCCCTGGTGGGTGGGTGGGTGGTTTCTCTTTCTTTTCTCCCTTACTCTCTCTCTCTCCTTCCTTACCTCTTTCTCTTTCTTTCTTTCTTTTTGTCTGTCTGTCTGTCTGTCTCTCTCTCTCTCCTTTCTTCCTTTCCTTCCTCACTCCTTCCTTATCCTTCCTTCCTTTCTTTCATTCTTTTTCTTTCTTTCTCTTTTCCTCCTTTCCTTCCTTCCTCTCTCTTTCCTTACTTCTTTCTCTCTCTCTCTCTCTCCTTTCCTTCTGTCTGTCTGTCTCTCTCCTTTCTTCCTTTCCTTCCTCCCTCTTTCCTTATCCTTCCTTTCTTTCATTCTTTCTTTTTCTTTCTTTCTTTCTCTTTTCCTCCTTTCCTTCCTTCCTCTCCCTTTCCTTCCCTCTTTCTTTCTCTCCTTTGCTTCTTCCCTCTTTCCTTCCCTCTTTCTTTCTTTCTTTCTTTCTTTCTCTCCTTTCCTTCCTTTATCCCTCTCTTTTCCTCCTTTCCTTCCTCCCTCTCTCTTTCCTTACCTCTTTCTTTCTCCCTCTCTCTCTCTCCTTTCCTTCTTCCCTCCTTCCATACCTCTTTTTCTTTCTTTCTTTCCTTCTTTCTTTCTTTCTTTCTTTCTTTCTCTCTCTCTCTCTCTCTTTGCCCCTTCTTCCTTCCTTTTTTCTCTTCCTCTCTTTCCCTCTTCTTCCTTCTTAACACTTTTTTCTTTCTCTCTCTCTCTCTCTCTCTCTCTTTCATCCCTCCCTCCCTCTCTCTCCTTTCTGTTCCTCCCTTCCTCTCTCTCCTTCCCCTTCCTTCCTTCCTTCCCTCCCTCCCTCCCTGCTTCTTTCTCCATCCATCTCACTACCCACAGCTTTAGCTTTTCCGGCAGCTGTTCCATTCCCTTCAGCACCAAATAACAAAGCTAATCTACAAAATCCTTTTTTATATATTAATATATATATATATATATATATATATATATATAACAGGGTGTTCATTTTCATTCTCCAGCAAGCGACGCAGTTTCTTTTCGGTGCCTCCTGTGGAACGGTGGTGGCTGGGATTTGTGTTGTGGGGGGTGTGGGCGCTGCACAAGTGCCAACGTGCTGGATGGCTGTGGGGTGCCCCC